TGACTAAAGGGTGTTTTTTCATGTCCTCTATGCTCTAACTACGAAAATATTTGATTTACAAATAAGGAATCCTACTTCGCGGAATTTCATTTATCGCGGTAGGGTCTAGAACGGATTAACCGCGATAAACGAGGGTTCACTGTACAGACCTTTCTTTCAGTATGAGAACCCTGGCGAGTGTCTACGTGCGGGCGGTTTGAATTCACAACACGGGCCCTTCTCGTTTTGTCCTTGCTGCCAAATCTATCTTTCAGTATGCCTACAGCAAGCTTTCCTGTCCTTCCATCGAGCAGCGTCTTCTCTGTAACACAATACACACGGAGGCGCACAGTCATCATCACGGTCGGCATGGAAACTCAGAACCTCCCAATACCAACAGTAGGAAGTTGCTTGACAGGGTGGCAAATGTCTTCCACACATGAGGCAGCCAGTGAGAACCCTAAACACCCTGAACACATGCTACCGTGTGAAATCACAAGGACAGGATTCAAAATAACGGACATCATACATGATCACCACACGGGCAACGGGTCGACATCCACACTGACTGTGGTCACGGGGGCTGTGAGTGTTTCTGTAATGCAGTTTACAAGCTTGGAGTGAATTTTAAATGTAAGTGTACATTTAAAAATAAATTTCTATTTGCTCAGGTATTCGTTTAATAAACTCCTAACTTCACAAAGAACGAATCTCGAGAGGAGGGTCCCTAAAGAAGGCACTGACGATCAATAAACACAGCACAATGACCGAGCTGTGTGGACGCCACCGTGGATCCAAGTGTACCTGAAAAACACAACTTAAGTGGGGAAAATCTAGTAAAAGAGACGCAAAATGTGGGACGATCTGTGCAGATCTCAACAACGAAAAATAGAATGCATGATAAACTCAAAGCAGTTCCTCTCTGTCCCGTTCTTCTAAGTCTCTCTTTCAGAACAAACAGCGAGTAATGGACACAAGGACCCAATACGAGGACGCAGACACGAGCCATGCAGCAGTCAGCCTGCCACATCCTAGAAAGAACACGCCAACATGGGGAGAATCCCAGAACCTCTGGCCTGAGGGTTCCTTAACTCCAGTGGTGGTCCTTCCTGCCCTGACTTCAGGTTCCCCCAACCATCTAAAGGGCTCCCACTGGGCATGTAGCTGTGACTGACGGCTACACCCTGCCTTATACAGCCAGGCAAACAAAGTCCTTTCCTTCATGGCAGCCCTTCAAGTCTTTAAGAGCTTCTCTGGGCTCAACAAGTGTCATGAACCTACTCAACCTAGCCCCACAACCACCTATTTTTACAAAGAGCTGAGTGGTGCCGTGCGTTAAGCAAAGGGCTACTAACTGAAAGGTCAGT